TATTTGTTCCAAAAGAATGTTTGAATTTCATTCAAAAAAATGTTTCAACTAGAAATATTTGATAATGACTTTTTGCAGGGCACAGTCTTTCCAGTAGGAAATCACCCAGACCCTCCCTTTGTGCCAGCTCTATTTCCATATCAACACAAATTCTGGAGTTTCTGAAGTTCTGAATGTTTGGCATTGTGACAGTGCCCTTCCTTTAGTAGGAGCTCTTTGGAAGGCAATATACACTGTACCAGCACATAGATAATTAGCTATAGAGTCGACCTTCCATCTATACTGTACAAAGAAAGTAACAAACGTGGTCACTGTAAACAATGTGGGCCTGCATATTCATGCAATGTCTGCACAAACTGAGCATGCTAACAGATGTCTGAACTGAGACTTCCCAAATAGACCAGTGGAGTAAAATAATTTTAAAAACCCCATGAAACAACATTTGTTCTCAGGGGATGTTCCTTTCTTAAGAAGTTTATTCCAATAGATTATTGTTGGATTATACTTAAATGATAAAGCATATCTGACCTGAAAAAAAAATTCCCAATATATTTCTTAATTTCATTTGCAATCCTTCTCCCAGAGCCCTCCTACCTGTACAATACTTGCCTGTGCATTCTGTACAATACTTAGAGTAGCCATGTGTGTATTCTCCAGTCTGCACTGATTGCAGCAGAAGCCTGTGCCACTGGCAGATAAATGCTAGTGCCAGGAATAAAGGAAGCAGAAGTTTCTGGGAAATCTACAGCAGTAATTCCGAGCCTACAGAATACAGAAAGGGGGATTATTAGACTGCATGTCAAAAGACTAAGAAGGACCTCTGATCACTGAAAACCCTTCTGCTAAAAAAGGCAAAGTTTATGCTTCAGTAAGAACTTCTTAGAAATCACTGACCCATGTATGTTTTAGGAAAGAAAGACACTTGTACCTTTACTCCTTGCAGCATCCTTGGAAAAAGAATCCTTGATATTTGACCAGGTTTTTTTTGGGTGGGCTTTTTTCTTTTTCTTTTTCTTTTTCTTTTTCTTTTTCTTTTTCTTTTTCTTTTTCTTTTTCTTTTTCTTTTTCTTTTTCTTTTTCTTTTTCTTTTTCTTTTTCTTTTTCTTTTTCTTTTTCTTTTTTTCTTTTTCTTTCTCTTTTTCTAACAAAAACCTTTCCTTGGGAGAAGAATGAACTCTTTAAAGAGAAATCTTCTTGCCAGGGAAAGAATAAATCCATGTTCAATCTCAGATGCAACATCTATAAATAAATCCAGGTTGTCCCAATGCTAGCATTTGCTGAAGACCGTCAAAATTTTTGTATTCCCATTCTGCTTCCTTGCCTAAGCAAAGGGCCCTGGAGAAGATAATTTTTTCTAAATTAAACCTTACTTGACTATTTCCCTGCCAAAACAAATACTTCTGATATTCAAGGATATTGTCTTGCAAATGGGTGTGTTGAATGGAGCTGAACATTGTAAAGATATCACATATCATCTTATCATGTAGTATACATTCCTCATTGTTCCTTGCTATCTTGCAGAGATCTCTGAAACAATTGCCTTTAATCTGCTTTCCCTGGGGCAGAAGGCACCGGCTACTTTCGGTTAAAATCACCATAACTTTCCAATAACATCTCAGGCAGTAAGACTGCCTTCAGGTATCATGTTTGCTGTGAGTTAAATCAGATTATACACCAGGAAGATTGCCAATTTCAAGAACTATGGTTGGGGGAATGAATTGGGGTTTTGAAAATCATGCAATAATTTAGATTGAAATCAGACCTCAGGAGATTTTTCTGGTTCAACCTCCTACTCAAAGATGAAACAACTCAGAGACTCTGCCCACTTGATTCTTGAACTCACCCAAGAATGCAGACTCCCCAACATTTTCAGCCCTTGTTCTGGTGCTCCCTAGAAGTTTTTCCTAACTGCAGTACTTTTCTTGATGTGACTTATGTCTTTTGCTCATAATTGTTTCAGTGTGTAGCCTTGGAAGAATCTGGCTCCGTGTTCTCTTGGTTTTTTGTTTATAGCCTATTGGAAGGTGGGATTGAAGGCTGTAGAAAGACCTGCTTTTATATTAGTCTCTGTATTTGGAGAACACATAGCAAACTCTGTAAAACTGTTTTTCTACTGTCTGTTCCTGGTATAAGGATTTTCCTCTTCAATAAACACTTGTTGAGCTCTATCCAGTTAAAATGGTAATTTATCATGTAAATTCATCCAAAAATATTCTGTAAAAAACATCTTCCTGCCACATCAGCCAAGATACATCATCCCCTGCACACATTTTCATCCTATCCCTTTTTTAGCTTATTTTTCATCAAACACAAACAGATTATTTTCATTGGTACAGGTCTTTCATAGTAGCAGATTGTTAATAACACCAGTTCTGCCCTCTTTCCCACTCATTTCCCCTGCTGTATCATAGCCATGCTTACACCTGTTTTGCCCCAAACTCTGCTACAAATCAACTGAAAAAAAACAACCAATTGCTCCTTTCAGAAGCTTTATAAAGCTTATCTCTGAGTGTAGCAGAAAAAGTACTTCTAAAACCAATCAGAAGCAGAGTTAGATGAACCACTAAAATTTTACACTGAACAAAACAGTGGCTGCATAATTATTGCAACATGGTAATAAAAAGCTGTTTCATCCTAACTTTGGAATTTATTTCCTTTACTTACCTTGAAATGACATAGTTGACCTTAACAACTGAGAAATTCTCCTGCCTACTCCTGCTTGGGAAAGTCTCTTTCAATACTGCTAGTTTCAGGAGCTCCATCCCAACCCTCCTGCCTACAAGGGAACATAGGAAAGCACATGCCTTGCAGATTGGATTCAGGCACCTGAAGGCCTAGATATACTGCTGAATAATTTAATCCTAATTTTTAACATAGTTCTTGCAACACTCTGATTCTATGATCCTTACCTAGATCTCTCCAATTATAAATATTCCCATCTGTAACTTCACTTAGCCTCATGTATAAACCATTTAATCTAAAATCAGTATAATCTGTTAGGATCATTTTGTCCCTAAGCTGTATTTCATATTCCAGAGCTCAAGTCAAGTTTCTGAAACTCTTATACTCCCTTCACATAATGTGGGTGACCTTAGGAAAAACTTGATCATCACCTTTACCTCAGATTACCTCATATCTGTTGGATGATAAAGTGAGTCACGAAGTAGCAAGACAACTCCTCTGTGTAGTGGTTACTTAGGCAAAAAGTGTGATACATACATTTGATGTGCTGGTATGTCAAATGCAGAACTATCTGAATTGTTGCTGGTGTACAGGAAGTTGTCTGAGTTTTAAAGACAATCCTTTAAAATGATTTCTTCCCCTTTCTTTCATAGTACATATGTTTTGTGACTGCACCTTAACCTTTACAGCCTGCTGCAGATGTCTGACTTATTTCCTTACCTTCTTTCCTTGCTTTAAGGAATCTCTACTTTCTTGAATGTTTCAATGCTATTTGTGCACTGATAATATATACAGACCTTATCATCAAAAAACAGAGCATCTTTTAATTCCAAATTCCTTGCACCTTTCTTCTTTTTGATCACTTTTGATTAAGACATATCTAAAACTTTAATACTGAATGCTGTCCTGCTTTCAGATGTTTGTACCACAAGTGTCATTAGCTTTTGACCTCACAATTGCTGAATACAAAACACCTGTGTTTTTTTCATAGCGAGGCTCCATAGTATTAGAATAGCAAAAAACTGGAATTTGTGATAACTCAAAGCTGGAATACCTTTTTATAAAATGCATCTTTTATGAAGGAGAAGTAAGTTATGATTCCCTGGGAATTTCTGTCTCCAAAGCAAAATATGGGCTCTCACTGAAATAACTTAAAGCTCTCTTATGACTGTCAGTGAAGGCAGCCAGTGATCTCAGGTGGAATTTCTCTCAAGGTTCTTGTGGCACGCAAGAAGCATGAAGGCAAGATCTATTGCCTCAGCCTTCAAATCTCACAATAAGGGAAAGGATGTCAGGCATCAAGCTCTTCAAATATGAGAAATGCCTTTGGGAGGAGCACTGTTAATCTGCTCTTACTACTAATGCAGGGGTGTGCCAACTTGGTCTGTTCAGTCAGCACTTGGAAGGCCATGCTGACTGTCACAAGAACTCCTGAGCTTACACTAAGAAACACCAGGCTGAATTCTCATTTCTAAAGCCATCAGAGATCCCTAGGAATGAAGGGAGATCAAAACTGTTTTGGGTGATCTATGTTTTTCCTGCACTTTTCAACTCTTCAGAAGCCTTTAAAACAATGCTCATACAACAAAATAAACTGACCTGATCCTTGCTTTCATCTCAGTGGCATAACCCCTTTTATTTTTCACCTCACAAGTCCACTGTTTACCTGTCAGCATGTTCAGCACATAAATGACAATTAACCCTTAGCATGACACAGTCTTTGTTGAATTTGTGCCTTATTAACCTTTATTACTAATATTAATTCTGTAAACAACTGAAATTCTACTACATGCCCTCCACACTCATGGAGTAAGCCTTAGGTAAGAGGCAGTGAAAGTTAGCGTGAATAGAAAGAGTACAGAAAACATATTGTGGAAACTTTCTATTCAGGGGAAGAATTATGACAATCACTACATTTCTTTGTTTTTAAAGAACAGAACATGCATGTGCCGACCTATGGAAAATGCAGGAGTGAGAGTGAAGGTATGCAGCTAAGTGGCTGCTCCAAAATAGTAAGCTTTTTTTTCCCAATTGTGTTTGATTATCTTCAGCTAAATATTGCACTTTATGTCAGGTTTTTGACACTTCAGAAAAAGGAGCAATTGTATGCCCATCTAATCCTGGTTCAAGGAAAGTATGGTAGTATAGGTATGAAGAATGTATTAGAAACTGCTGGACTGTAGGAGAATGCAGTCATTGAGAAAAGATAAATTCACACCTGGGATGCACACAAAAGGAAGGAAATAAATTAGGGAAGAGACAAAGAGTGTTCCTGGTGTGAGGTGACAAAAGAAATATATTTTTAGTATTTAAGAAGCTTGTTCCTTCATTGCACCTCTATTAAGAAACAATATTCTGTACACAGAGTATTTATGATAAATTAACTTCTGGCAATGTTAGACATACCATAGTTCAGTCCCTTCTGAGTAATCCTCACTTTAAGACCAGAATTAGCCTCAAGCCTCAAGGACAGGCAACACAGCTGGAAAAAATACCATGTCTTTAGCATCATCTCACCTTTGTCACAGATCTCTTAACAACATGTATGATACAAATGCTTTCATAAATTATTCATACCATGAGTTGCAAAAAATCTGTATCCATGACTTTCATCAATGAAATTTGGTCACGGATGGATAGCCAAGAGAACTTTAGTTAATGATTTTATTGCACCAAGCCATCATTGTGGGAGCCAGCACAGATTTCTGATTTCTTGGATATCACTTTAGCAGGCACTAGCTATTGGTGAGACTGCATGGTTCTGCTCCAGTACTCTATCCTTTCCTCATACCCATGCCTTGGCTATTTTATTTTACCATCTGTCCTACCAACTGCATGACAGTGAGCACAACAAAGCAGTCCCAGTCAAGCAGGAGCAGGCCTGTCTTCCCCTTTAACACCACCTTCTTTTTATACACCCTAGGATACACTGGATTTGAGAATTCCAAAGTTTTCCAACTGGATCTGCTGGTCAATTACCAGTTACCTGAAGTAATACATGAGATTGCTACATGAGATTGACTAAATGAGATGACATGAGAAGGGAATGCAAGGGTAAGTTCAAAGCATGTGTGAGAATTACATGGTGATCACAAAGGAGTAGAGAAGGATTTCCTGGCATAAGAAAGCAGTGGTGCGGTTGAGTGGAAAGCAGGCTCTTAGCCACTGCATGGTAGGACATAACCACCTAACAGATTCACAAAAGTTGAGATAAATTGTTTCTTTCTGTGACATATCTCTACTACAAAAGCAAGGTTTCTTCAAAACTCTTGTATTGATCCTGATTTTCTCTACCAATGACAGCTACTGCTCAGTTTATTAGAAATAACAATACTGTTTCTCAAGACAACTTCAAGTCTTCCCAGTGCTCCATTAGAAAGTTTTTTATTAGGGACCTATAATAACTTTATGCTGGGCTTACCACAGAGGGGAGTGGTACATCCTTTTCTAACTCATCTGATTGTGATCATGATACCTGCCTATGTATAAAAACATGCTAATTAATCAGTTTCCCAGTAATTTTGAGTCTGTAGTCATTCCTGGATTTCTAACAAGCTCATATTGTCTTGGACAATTTATTCCATTATCTGATAAAAATCATATAAATGTGCTTAAAACCAGCACAAACCCCTCCACCAAAAAAACCCCACACCCCAACACCCCTTGTTAGTCTTCTGTATTGAACTCAGTATTACCAGATCAGACTCGAAATGGTTGCAAATCTATGTTCTACCCAGCACCTCATAAAAAACTGGTCTTTGGTAGATTTCCCACTCTAAGACAGACAAAATGCATTACCAATATTGCCCTGATACTGGTTCTTTGAAGAATCCTTACAAAGTTATTCCAGGACACTATCCAAGAAAAAGTAGTCTCAGGGAAAAAACATTTTGAAAACATAATCCACATTGTGACAAATTTCAAAAATGTACCCTTTAATTGGTAAACCTCCAGTTCTTACACATTTTTGGTTTTCTCTCTTTTAAGCAACTCAAAATAAATCCTTTATGGTAGCAATGCTGTATTATTCACAAGAGCCTGCTGAAGTCACAAACCCTAAACATTTTCCAGAAAAAATGTCCTAACTTTTCCTGCAAACATGTCACTTTCAATCCTGATTAATAAGGGTCAATTAAAAATCAGTATAAAACCAAAAAGACAGATTTTTTATTATTAAAGGTCACAGATATTTACTAGATGTTGTCTAGCAGGATTGCTAGAAACATTGATGCAGATGAGATACCCCATTCCCATAACATTTCATTCACACTGAGGAATAGAAAACAGCAATCTTGGTTATTAATGTGCTTTGGATCTTAAATGTATGTTGGGTAAGAAGCTGAAAGAATAAACTGAACTGCCACGGGAATAAAAGATGGCATCATTTTATACTGCTTCCTCATACCAGTAAGCTTTACTTCTGCACTCCAAAGCTGATACTCTTGGCTTTCATTCCTGAGCCCCTCTCAGACACTAGGATTGATGTACAAGGTCACTCAGATAGAGTGTCTGAGTCAGACAGAGCTAAGCAGAAGGAACTTGTCAGCTGCCTGATAGTCTAAATGAGAGCTGCCAATTGCACTGCTGAGGACAATAGATGTCAGACAAATTGCTCTGATTTTTATCCTCAGTAACTGAGCAGGCAAGGACTGATTTCTGTATGTAAATAATTCTCTTAATTCTTTTGTCTTCACAAAGATTAAAGTAGTTCAAGTACTTGAAGTGGAGAAAAAGATTAAAAACTCCTTTGTTTCAGTTTGTGTGCTTGTCTCATCCTAATGAAGTACTGTAGTTACCAGACTGTAGATACCATGTCTGGTTTCTCCTTTGTGAACAGTCTGCAGAAACTTTAAAGATCACAATAAAGATTAATTAAGCTGGAATTTGCCTAAAACTCAGCAAGCCTCTGATGTAGAAAAAAAAAAAGAGTAACCATACTTGCCTTGTACAGGTTTAATACAGCCATAAAAACACATTATCTTAAACTGACCATGCTCAGAAAAGAGTATATCTGAAAAAGAATTTTGTCATTGTCTTGCCTTGGTCCTGTACAAGATTTTCCAGTCTACAACCCACAGAATAATTTCTTTCACTTTCAAACATTTAGAAACCTCACTAGTTAACAAACACAGGACAAACAGTTCTCAAACACGATAGCAAACACAGAGTCTACCCAACCTGAAGTCCAGAAAGAGCACTTTAGTTTCCCAAATATCTCTGCTGTTATCACAGAACTGGGACTGGACTTTTCAGTTTCTTCATTGCTCCATGTTTCTAGTTACTCTGCAGTATACTCAGGAACCAGTAGGGTTTCTGCAGCTCACTCAACAATGTAAAATCAAAAAGGACTCAATGGCTTCAGGGTTCCTACACACTGATACTCCTTATGGAAAATCACCTCTTAAGGGAAAAGGAGTATAAAGTTTATATGATCGACAGAAGAGATATATTGAGAGGAATGCTTAAACAAAACAGCAAATGACACAGACAGGAATTTCCTAAATGACTTAAAAGCAGATGATGCCTCTTCACAACTAGTGTAAATATCCACCAAATGAGAAAAGCTCCAGGAAGTTCCTATTCGTGGTTTCTGAGTAGAAAGTAAAGTGATGCTATCTACTTCCCAGCTCATGAGGCAGCCATCAATCCTGCTCAGTGAAATCTTCAAACAAAATCCACAGGAGGAAACGGCTGCCCCTACCCCACAGGTTGTATCTGTGAGTATGTCTGGGACACCCCTCGATTTTTCAGCAGCTTTGCAAAAGCTTTGTGTTACCACAGCTTTTCCTAAGTTTGGCTTTACTACTGACGCCCTTCATAATCTTTCAAGGCCTTAGAGAAGGGTTGCCAGAGAACTATTAATCTATGCCAGGCTGCAAAATAAATAGCATAGCTGCAATGCCTACACAAAATCTGCTAACAATGGATAACAATGTTGGGAGGCAGTTGTCTGATGAGCTGATGGAAAAAAACATTGTCCCTGTTTGGACCCATTGCATCAATGTTGCTGAGCTCTGTAACTGCCCTATCCTAGCACCTGAGCCAGGACTATGAGGCTCATTTTTACCAAAGTCCATTTAGTAAAACAAAAATCAGTGTCCTTGTGCTGGCTCTGCCCTGCATGCTGCCCTCACAGCTAAGAATTCGGGGTGGTTCCAAAGACACAGGCAAAGAGTAAGAAACACTGAAACACTGAGGAATGCAGCAGGCATTGTTTGTCTGGAAGCTGCCCAGATTCAGACTCGAGTCCATCATTTGCATAGATACTTTCTAAGCTTTCTTCTCTGCTTTTCTCCCCATTGTTTGGCTCACTCACCAGTCTCTTGTACAACCATTCCCTTCCTTTCAGGGAAGTAGCATGAAGCACTCTCAGCCTAGGCAGCCACTTCCCTGGGTTCACACAAATTGCAGTCCTGTCAGATTCCTAAGAAGTAGATGCAGTGATCTCCCTAAGCAAAAAATGAGCCTCTTTTTACTACCCAGAGAAATGTGACTTTAGTCTGCTAATGAAAAGATACCAAACTCTTGACTTTAGTGTGCAATTTCAAATATTTTTGCTCAGCACACAACTCCCAGCAATTTGATCTTGTTAAAAATATGCAAATCCAAGAAAAAACACTCAAAGTGTCTCAAGCAATCTGGCAAACTCCAGGAACATTGCTGTAAGATCTTTTGCTCCATACAATCAAGATTTTAATCAGAAACAGAGAAGTTAAGAGCCACATGAGCAAACTCAGACCCTGTTTAAGGGTCATCTGTACGACAGCCAACCTGAGGTGGTGTCACAGAGAATTCCACCCACTGTATAGAGCATTAGCACAGAGGGCTCTAAAATACCTTCTAGCAGTAAAGCTGACCACCAGAAAGCTGCAAGAATTTAGGAGGTTCTCTCCACTGGCTTTCATTTGAATCTCCTCTTCCAGTGACACTTCAGACTGGCACTTCATCTCCTGATGATACTTCAGCCTTCACACTCATCTCCTTCTCATCCCACACTTTATTGCCTCTTTCAGTGTGACTCTTGTCATTCAAAATATGAGCATCACAAGTCAATATATACACACATATATTTATCTGTACATATTATAAAATACGTTATTTGTAGTGGCAAATACATGAAGAGAAATATCAGAAAAGGTACACTGGCTCAAAGCTTTATTACCACACTCATCTTTCAAGAAAAAAAAATATTTCCATGAGGTATGTAACTGAACCAAAGAGACCTTTACATTTGATAGCTCTCCTGTGCCATAGGACTTGATCGACAGGACTACAGCTTAAATTTCAAATTACTCAAGAGCACCCACTAGGGCTATCAGTAGGGTTTTACAGCTTTGGTGAAACAGGTTCTATTGCTTGTGTTTCACACTGACCATGAGGGAAAGAAACAACCTCAATAAAGTACTTCAAGTAGAGAAACTACATTGTCTTCAACAACCATTCCAAACTACTGACAAAGAGTTTTCTTTTGTCAACATACTGCATATTATCTTAATGAATAAGACTTAAAAATAATTCACTCTTTCTGATAGAGTGAACTATGCTGAAAGTCAAAATTCCTCTAAACACAACCATTTTTACAAGCCTCTAGGCACACAGGTTTCCCGTACTATTTTGACAAGTGCCCTTCCCAGCCAGAGGTCAGCTTCATATATGGCCATTGAAAATGTCCTGCCTGCAAAATGAAAATCTGAAGACAAAATTAAAATGGTGGAGAAAACCTGCAACTCATCAAATAACAGCCCTTTTTTCTAGAATGATGCATGAAGGAAAAAATAATTGTGGTGTTGAGTCATTTGAAATTTGCCAGACTTGAAAGCTGAGGAAAATGTTTTAGCCTTTCATCCTAATTGTTTCCTAGGAGGTTTTCCTGCTACGTGGAAAATGTGTCTAAACCTTACATTGAGTGGAAAACATGTCTAAACCTTCTATTATAGCATGACTCATAAAGTTCAAAGGAAAAATTCATAGAATGGCAGCAAAAACGCTCACTTGTAACTGGTGTAGCTGGTTACCTAAGAATGACTATAGTCAGCTCCCAAGAAACTGAAGCACTTTGTGTCACACAATAGCTTCAGCTTGTGCAAGCTACAAAACAGGTGGTTCTGCTGTTAGCACCACGTCTGCAGCTGTGGACATTCCTCATACTAGGGAGGCCTCCTCCACCCTTCCGAAAGAGCACAGACTAAGATGCCATAGAGCCAGTGGGATAACAGGAGGTGGCTGAGGCATGGATAACTCTGAGGAATGAAACAGTAGGACATCCATGGCCAGAGGAAAGTGGTAACGATGTTGAGGCAGCAGCAAGACACACTTTGGATTCAACCCTCTTTGAAAGAGAGCAAGGAATTTCTGAGAGGCACAGTGCTCCTCATGTGTTCTCCTTTCTACTTCTCTGCCAGTTCCACTCTCATCCCCCTCTGCCACGGCAACCCACTCTTCTGGGTTTATTCAGGATGTGTCCCCAATTGATGATGACTGCAAAAGCACTCCTTCAAAAAGGGTGCAGCTTCTCAGGAAATCACTTGTTCTAGCATTTGTCATGGAAGAGCTGGTAAGTTACACCAAGCTGACTGCAGTGAGCATCAGCTGTTCCCTTGTCCAGGGAGCGGTGTTCCAGCTCAGCAGGCTCCTTCCTTTCACCACCTTCAGTACAAGCCTCTCCTTTCCACTGAGGAATTTACTGACATGCTGATACCAGAGGATGGCTGCCCTTCAGCTTGAGACGTCTCTGACAGCAAGCTCTAAAAAGAATGGGATGGTTTGGATGGCCATGGTCAGATGCATTAAGGAGGTTTCACCTGCAGTATAGAATAAAGAGTTTTTTTTAAGTTTCAAGTCTCCTTTTTCCTGTTTCTGTTTTCCAGGACCTTCTAGGTGCTGAAAGAAGACAGCAGGGCTGGACCTACAGCATTAAGCAATGTGAATAGGGCCCTAATTAGCAGTGGTACTTGGTGGTAGCTGTGTAAGCCAGGTCTTGTGATTTCACTTATTATTTTAGTATTATATCCCTACAAAGTATACCAGTTTACTTGGGTTATTCTTTGTATGGAGAAATGTGACACAAGCCAAGTTTTATTGTTAGAAAGAAAACCAAGATGATCTGAGAACATGCATTGTTCTATGTAACCTCTGAATTCACTGCAAAATTCTATGGAATTCATTAAACAAAGTGAAAACTTGAATTTTTTTTTCCTTTTACGTTATTCCCCCAGTCAACATTATACTCCTGCCAAGTGTGCATTTCCAGATAAAAAGACATGGGGAATGGCTTTTTTTGCAAAGTATGACAGGTGAAGGGGAACTAAAGCCAGTAAACTTCAGTTTCTACCACTTTATACTTTAGTCAAGATTATTTGCTATCAGGTGTTATAGCACTACCTCTGAGGTGACAACTCAGCAGTCTGGTTTAGAAAAATCGAGTTCCTTCACAAAACTAAAACCTCTCGGGGGCACCATCCTCCTTCAGCCTTTCCCTTTGTGCATTTCCACCCTCACCAACAGTTTAACATCCAGCCAAGCTCTCTCCAGCAGTTTTGGCTGCAGAACATCACTTGGCCCGGAGCTACAGTGAGGAGGAGGAGGAGGTCAGCGGCCCAACCACCCTCGCCACACAGCGTCACTCAGCCCGGGCGCAGAAATCACTCTGCCAGTGGCCCATCCATCGCAGGGTAAGAGGCAGAGGAGGAACGGAGCAGTTCCGAGGCGCGAGGGTTACTCCCGCAGCAATGGCGGCTCCCGCACCGCCTGTGGGGGCGCGCGCCGGGGCGGCTCCTCCCCCCGCGCAGCCGAGCGCCCAATCATCGATCGTGGCCGGGCCACCGCGCGGCTCGCAGAGACAGCGATCGGGGGCGTGCCGCGAGCCCCGGAGGCGGGGCCAGGGCCGGGCTGAGGCGGTGCCGCGACAACCAAAACAACGGCCCGGCCCGGCAGCCCTTGCGCCCGCGGCCCGCCGCCACCTTCCCCGCCGCCGCTGCTCGGCGGGGTCCGCTCGGGGCGCGAGGTGGGCGCGGAG